GGCTGAGAGAGTGTGCATGCATATTTTTATTTTTATTTTTAAAATTTTTTAAAAAAAATAATTTTAATTTTAATGTATTTATTTATTTATTTATTTATTTATTTATTTTTGGTGCTTTGGCCCCCCAATTGTCTGAAAGACAGCAACCCGTCCCCCGGCTCAAAAAGGTTGCCTACCCCTGCCTAGCTGATACTACTGTAGCTGTGGGTGTTTGCCCTCATCAGGTAAAGTAAACAGCAGCTAACTGCAGAATCCCTCACTCATTGTGTGCGAACAGCAAAACAGAGTGGAAAGGGGGGAACAGATAAGCCTGCCTCACCAGCAACATGAAGTATATTTAAAAGCATACATTTGTAAATTTGGTCACCAGAACGGAAATTGTAACAAAAGTGGAGCTGGGGTCATCCTTGGGAGCATTTTGGAAGAAGCCTTCAAGTGGTCTATAGAAAGTCCAAAGGTTTTATTTACCTATATAAAGCTTCACTAATCTAGTTCTTTCATTTCATTTATTATTATTTCATAAGTGCATATTGTTAGTTTTGAACCATATGTGTTGAAACACGTTAAATCGCTCTCCTTTTTTGTGGCATTAAGACCTATTCTTGTTTTTTTTTTTTCTTGTTATTTCTGCTTCTGATACCAATTTTTCTGTTAAAGAAATAATGCTGAGAAACATATCGACTTTGTTAATGAGGTGGACCTGTATACTATTCAGCTAGCAATAGTATTATAAAAATCAGATTGAAAAGCCCAAGAATAAATACTCCACACACATACACCACCCCCGGCTGCCATTTATGAACAAGGGAAAGTACTGAAAATTAAAACCAGGAGAATCTCCACACAATCTTTTCTTGTACTTATTAAATATTTTTTGAACTTTTACAAAAGGAGAATTTTTATTCAGGACATGTACTGTGGCTTTTAAGAATTGCTAGTCAGAACCAGTAGCAACTGACAGTGTTTGCAGCACTTAGAGATCCTGATTAAGAATTAAAACACCAATGGTTGGGAGAAGCAAACTACAGGTTTTATTATAGGAACTTCATTCTAAGATAGGAAAGTAATTCAGGGTGTTAATTTAAAACAAGTCCATTCTAGAGAAGAGCTGAGGAAAAAACTGTTAGGAAGAGAAGAGGCAAAGAGACATCACTAAGGACCTTATCCCACGGGGCCAAAAGCAGCAAGAATCCACTAAGAATCAGGCGCTATAGCGCTATAGTGTTCCGTGCGATTACACGACGTCGCTCAGAATCCAGCAAGAAAACGCTCGGAATGCAACATCAATCGCATTCTTTTGAATGTCGGTTTCAGCTGGCATTGCAATAGCGCGAGCTGATCCATAGCGCTATTATAGCGCTAGCGCCATATTTATACTAGCGCTATAGTACTGCAATGATGCTCATATCGCTTTCTTGCCACTTTTGAGAGCAGCGTGGGATAAGGTCCTAAGAGTATCGTTTTACATCGTAGGTAGACTAGAAGGGTCACCCAAATGTGTTGTAGTTTGAACACTGGACTGTGACTCTGGAGACCAGAGTTTGAATCCCTATTCAGCCATGGAAAGTAATTCAGGGTGTTAATTTAAAACAGGTCCATTCTAGAAAAGAGCTGAGAAAAGACTGATAGGAAGAGAAGAGGCAAAGAGACATCACTAAGAGTATCGTTTTACATCGTAGGTAGACTAGAAGGGTCACCCAATGTGTTGTAGTTTGAACACTGGACTGTGACTCTGGAAACCAGAGTTCGAATCCCTGTTCAGCCATGGAAATCCATTGGGTGACCTTAAGCAAGCTAGGCCTCATTCTCACTATGATTTAAAACAAATTGCTGATCGGGTTATGTGTCTCTCATTCCCACTTGAAACCGGTTCTGAACTGACTGCGCTCGGCTTCAATCAAGATGATTTCCTGACACTAGTTTTTTGGTAGTTCTTTTGAAAAGAAGCAATTAACAAGCCTGTTCAGCAAGTGGGAATGAAGGACCTGAATCATATCAAACTGAAGGGGAGGAATTACTGTGGCAGAGGGTTGGCACATCCCTCACCAGTTTTTAAGAGGAAATCCACCATTCCCCCCCCTCTCCTTTCCCAGGACGTGTCCTACATTCCTCAGCCATGAGTGTCATATAGAGGACTTTTTCAACCATGGGTGCCATATGGAGGACTCTCCCTGGGATGCCTCAGTCATGAGTGCCATATAGAGGACTCTCCCTGGGATTTCTCGGCCATGGATGCCATATGGAGGACTCTCCCTGGGATGTCTCAGTCATGGGTGCCATATGGAGGACTCTCCCTGTGATTTCTCAGCCATGGGTGCCATATGGAGGACTCTCCCTGTGATTTCTCAGCAATGGGTGCCATATGGAGGACTCTCCCTGGGATGCCTCAGCCATGGGTGCCATATGGAGGACTCTCCCCTGGGATGCCTCAGTCATGGGTGCCATATGGAGGACTCTTCCCTGGGATGCCTCAGCCATGGGTGTCAAATGAAGGACTATCCCCTGGGTAAGGTGCTGCCCTCCCAGCCTTGCAGAACTTGGAGGACATGCTTCCTAGTCAAGCTCAAAATGGAAGGTGATTTGGAATTCCTCCTGGAGAGAAGGTTGGAATGTAGGACAAGTCCTGGGAAAGCAGGGGTTGGGGAGAATGGTGAATTTCACCCAAAACTAGTGAGGGGTGGGATTCTGGCCATGGTACCCATGACTCCTTCCTATGCTTTCTTGAATGTGTTGCCAGTTGCATCACCAATGACGCATAGATGATTGACAGGCATTTTGAAGGGGCACAAACTAGTGGGAACAACAACCGTGCCAAAAAAGAAGTGAATAAAGAAAAGACCCACTTCCATACGCACGGACTGGAATTGATTCACCAACCCGGAGAGAAAGTGAATTGCAAACCGGGTTAAATGTAAGTGGGAATGAGGCTCTACATTCTTTCAGAGGAAGGCACTGGCAAAAATCCCTCTGAACAAATCTTGCCAAGAAAACTCTGTGATAGGCTTGCCTTAGGGTCACCATAAATTACAAACAACTTGAAAGGACACAATAACAACAACCCTATTAATACAGGAGGCTCTGAGGTATCCTTGACTTGTGCTACTCACTTGTTGCTCTTTTAGCAGCAACATCAGAACAGAATTTTGAATATTTACTATTTTTGAATTAAACTTCCAGAATTTCCCAATCAGCATGATTGTTGCTGGTTGTAACCCAAAACAAGGC